AAATAGCCAAGGAGGATGCAAGGAAAAAACGGGATGTGACTGTTCCCCAAACTGGATAATTGGTCCTTAAATAAGTAACTCACAGTCAATGCTTTTGTATTATTTTCATTTTGGAAAAGGTGAGATAATAAATTAATTTTTCCATTTTCTGATTACATGTAGTTCTTTTTAAATAATGTTTAAGAATAGTGTTAATAAATAGTTACCTATTGAGGGTATTACTAACACCTGAATTCTGTGCTTTCTCTGTTTTTTATTAATAATTGGCAATATTATAAACATGGAATCTGCAACATATTATATAAGAAACATTTTAAGATTTGTGGTCTTTATGTTAAAAATGTTTATGAGGACTCAGTCAATTTTATACAGTTAAGGGAAGTAGATTTTGATTTTATTATTGCCGTTATCTTTCTGAAATGGAGTGAACTTCTCTCCAAGTAAAGAATGATCTCTATTCAGGAAACACTTAATGACATCTTTCAGCAGATCACACAGCAGGACCCACATGAGTAGAGCTAACAACTTTTGTCCATTAAATCTAGTGACTCGAATAAATTTTTATTATCCTTTTGTAAAAATGCAAGCACTGCCTCATAGAAAAAAACAATTGTTACCTAATGAAGTGTTTCAGCTTGTTCATATAAGTTGATGGTTTCTGATGGCCAGATTATTGCTGCATCAGCTATTAGCTACTAATAACATGCCCCCATCTTGCTTTAATGACATACTGTACTCAGAATATGCAAGTATGGACAGATGTTTAAGAATATCATCTTTTTCCCTCTTGACTTTTGATTGATTCCCAACACCCACTTCTGATTAGAATGCAAGATGTTTTCTTTTAAGTATGTAGTCTTTAATTACCCTGTCTGACCATAAAAAGACAAGCAACACACCAGGAATTTTAAATGAAATGGTGGAGCATCTTTTTGGACTTCTCACCACTGACTGCAGTCACAGATGCTCCATGACTGCCTCTCTGAGTCTGCATATCTTCCAAAGACAAATTATTAGCAAAGAATGTGAAGCTCTGACAAAGGAAAAGTGAAGAGTACTAGATACTAGTTTTAGCAAAAAATCAACTTGGTGAATTCATTAGGGGATTTTGGAGGTGGGAGGCAGCCTCATTATAGGATAGAAAGGATATTAAAAAACTAGCTGCACTCTCTGTAGAAGCCGTGGTAGCTTTATTCTTAAAATGAATGGCATCTCTGTTGCCACTAGTGCCATTTTTAAAAAATGGAATTGAGGGAATGCTTGGATTGGGTTTTTCAACTGATGAAAATGATACTTTAGCATCTAGGTTTTTTAGATAGTTTGATAGTTTCCACCAACTTGGACCCTCAGGGATCAGTTGGATTTTTTTCTGGTATGTACATAGTATGAGTGTGTTTTCTTATTACTAAGAATTCTCTCAGAAGCTTGAGTAGTTTTATGTCTTGAATAATGTGGATCCTCCAGCTACCTTGCTTCCCTTAATTACACAATCTGAACATTTACTCTTATCTCCCAGGTAACAAATTACCATCTTGCTCCCCCTAGTGGAATTGTAACTCTACTTCAAAGTTTGAGACTACCCTATCAGTACATACTGATTTATGTCTTAATTTTGGAAATTAGGTATTTTCCCAAGTCATTTACAAAGACAGAATAAAATTAAAATATATTGTACTGGATGGGATGATAGTGGTTTACATAGAGAAAGAGGCTTCTTGATGAAAATGTGTCAGTTTCCAGTATTAGCTAGTTTAGGCTACAAAATTGACAATGACTGCCAAATTCAAGGGGCCCCTGGGCTCTGTACTTCTGTCTTAGAAGGATTAAATGTCATTAATCTGGCAGACCAATATTTCTGGCAACAATGGTGAGGTTCTGGTAGTGGGTAATGTTGAAAGACAAGGACAGTTACTATCTAAATATTGAATCCTGCTTATGCCATTGGTAAAGCAGGTCCAGGAAGTATCCTTCTGTATCCACATGAGGAACTAAACCAATATCCAGAGCACATGACAATCATTTCCAGTTTATAGCTGTTATGCATGCTAAGAAAATTCTAGTACTTAAAGCTGACATTACTGTATTCTTCTCTTAAGAATTTACATTTCTTTAGGAAATAATAATCAGTGGCTTCATGGTATTGGAATCTCTTTTGTTTTAGCCACTATTTGTTTTCACAACTTTGACCCTTATTATGAATTTGTCAATTCAACTCTGTATCTTATTGCCCACAAATCACCCCTATTTTGCATATATTCATGTTGAAATATGTGAAACTTCCAAAAGAAATACCTATACATACCAGGAATACCTGTACATACTCAGGACTCTGCTCTTTTGCAGGTAAGCTTTTGCTTCTAAGCCTTAGTAAGGTCAAAGCAAAAGTTGCAAAAGTTATAGTGGTTGTCAAATCAATGGAAAACAGAGTATATGTACTTGAATCTTATGAGCAAGAATGTTATAGAGTATTTCCCCTTCCCTTAAAATCAAGTAATATAGACAGTTTTAAGATACATTTGTTTTCCAAATATTTGTCCTCAGGGTAAGTGCTTACCTATCGAAAAATAAAACAGCAGGACTGGATTAAAATTCCAACAAAAGGGAATGCCAGAGTGCTCTCTGGGCATGTTTTTTTTTGGAAGTGTGAAGCAAAAAAAAAAAAAAATACCCATGAAGTTTGTTTTATTCTTAATATGCTACATGTTCAAGAGTCACAATAATTTAGCTTAAGAATTATATCCATGCAAACACACAGCTTCCATTTCAAGCAGGGCATGTATCTGTGAAGTCAGGTGTGGGATCTTATGATGCTTGCATTCACAACTGTGAAGACAATGATGCTGCAGTGGCCACATGGCATAGCTGGGACTAAAGATATCCATTAAACAAGACTTTGGACTTGGGAGAACAGGCACTTTTCTATGCTGCTGGGAGTATAAGGGAATTGCATATGAATTGATCTGTCTCTCTTTGCATATACACAGGAGTGTAGATGCATAAGTGTATGTATATGTGTAAATGTAGGCATGTGCATGTGAATGTGCATGTGATACATACATATATGCAACTGCAGCACTGGAAGAGTTGAAATAGTTCACCTTGCTCTCAATGTATGCTGGGAATTCTGTGCAATGACAATATTTTCCAAAGCTGCTATTAGCAGAGCAAGATGCCAAGGTGACTGGGCAAGGGTTGACTCTTTGCTGGGAATTCTGTGCATTAGTGATGCCCTTCAAACCAGTCTCAGGGGGTTGGGTTCAGAGGTTTTGGGAAGCTTTACAAACCCCTCCCTGCTGAAAGATTGTGCTGGCCTCCTTGTCTGGCAGCTTTATTTGGGTGTCTCTCTTTGGGAACATTCCAGCCATAACTTGGAATGCTTGTCTTTCTTGAGAAGTGTGAGGACTGAATGTAACAGAATGTCTGTGTGCATTCCTGACACTCATGAGTGATGAGAGTCTTTGCTTACGTACCTGTGAACCCTTCAAATGACTAACTTGTGGTGCATGAAATACTGGGATGGGTTTGTTCCTCAGAATCTTAACTTTTCAACTGTTGATTGATCACTGTTGATATAACAATAAAATCTTGTCAGACTCTGCCTCTGCTCGTCATCCTATGGTTACTGGGTTTGTTAATTGTTTTTCTAAGTTTCAAAAAGGCAGAAAAACACACATAAGCCTTTGACCACGAGCACAGCAAGTAGAGAATTATGAAACACCAACAAGATTGAAGATTTTTGTTGAAATCCTGGGTTTGTGTCTCTGTGTTTTGTATGAAATATGATCCTTGCATCGGGGCTTATAACTTGAGGTTTGGTTAGTAGATAGTCAGCAAGCATGTGAAGAATCTCCTCTAACATATCAGTTTCTTGGAATGCCATGCCTTTGCACACCCTATTCCCTTTGCTTGAAATGTCTTTCCTTGTCTGCAAACTCATACTCATTAAAGTGCCTTCCATGAAGCTTCTCTGGATACACTTCCTCATACTTCCTACCATCCACACAGTTAGCTTCTCTCCCCATGTTGTTTCTACCACACTTCCTAAATCATTCTACTTTCTGTTGGGTTCTTGTTTAATGTAGATGGGTTCAATAGTAAGAGCTCAGTAATGCACCCCCTGCTTCTTGCTCCCCACTCTGCTATTATGCTACTTACTTTGATAAGCAATGGGATGTAATCTCATCTAAAAACAGCCAGTGTTTTTTGGCCAAAGCTTTGGGGAGCATTTGGAAATGATTTCAAGGGTTTTCTAAACATTGACAAAGAAATGTTCAGGAATCCAGAAACATGGCAACATCCTGTAGGAATAGAATTGTTTGAGGCATTCATGGACATTGTCTGATGAGAGGTGAGATAGCAGTAAGGCATGATATGAGCAAAACCACAGATCTGGTAGTTTCCTTTTTTTAAAAAAAGATTTTTAAAAAATTTATTTATTTATGCATACAAGAACTGGGGTACAGGCCAGAGATGTGTGGGGGGCGGGGTGAGAGGATTCACCAGAGACAGAGTGGGGAGCAGAACAGGCAGATTGACTGAAATACACTGCTGAGGGGAGCAGCGGGCAAGTCAGGAGAGGTCTGCTGAGCCATGTGGGTATCTCCCTGGCCGGGGATTGAACTCATGCTGCAGTGGCTTCAGATAGCTTCACCGGTTGCATCTTTAGCCCTTGCGCCACCAGGGAGACTCTTGGTAGTTTCCTTGATGGGAAATTTAAGAGCTTTTCAAGGACAATTTCAATTATGGATGGTTTTCATGTTAGCCTCTTAGCTTCAGGTTAGATATAACTGTCAAGGCTTTGAAATCATATTATAGTTATTTCTTTCTGCAAATATCTCCTATACTAGATTTCTTCTGAGTGTGGGCCTGAGCCATATTCATCTTTGTTGGCCAATGGATAATGGTTGAATCAACTTTGGGGAACAAATCTTCTTCCAGTCATCTGCATCTGAATGCAATCAAAGTACTTAATTCTAATTGAAATTCTCCTGTATTTACAGCCACCACTGGTCCAAGCAATCTTCAGTGGTGATCCAGAGGAGATACGGATGCTCATCCACAAAACTGAAGATGTGAATGCTCTGGTAAGAGATGCTGTTGTTTTGCCAGCTAAAGTCCCTAAACCTGGATTGTTAACCTTTTCTGTACCATGGACCTCTTTAGCATTTGGTGAAAGCTCTGGATTACTTCTCAAAACTATTTTTAAATCCATGAAATATAATAGTGTTATAAGGGAAATAAATTATACTGAAATATAGCTTCAAAATATAAAAAATCAAATTGTGTGATATAATAATATATGCTTATTTATCAACAAATTTAAATAGCCAGATTCAGAAGAAGAATTCATAGTGACCATATTTTTAAAACAGTGAACATAATCAATGTTTTTTATTACCTGTGGCCATTTTAACATGATATGAATGTATCTGTGATTTCTCTTGGTAACCAAGTTACTGCTGACGCTAGTGAGAATTGCACCCTACATTCATCATAGAAGGGAATGTGAAATTTCCAGTAAAAATTAGTGAAAATAGAGATGTAATATTTTGATTTTCCAAGGTGATGAACCCATAGAACCAATGCACTCAGCAGGGGTTAGCAAATTATGGCATTTCACCTGTTTTTTACATAGGCTACCAGCTAAAAGTAATTTTTATTTTTTAAGTAACTGGAAAAAAATGAAAAGAAGAATAATATTTTGTGCTATAGAAAATATATGAAAAACAGACTTTGATGTCTATAATAAAGTTTTGTTGGGACAGGGCTATGGATCTTTCACATTGTGACAACAGAGCTGGGTAGTTATGACAGAGATTGCACGTGGACTTGAAAACCAAAAATATTGACTATCTAGCTCCTTAGAAGAAAAGTTTGCTCTTCTGTAGAAGCTCCATGTACTTTGGATCAGTGAGTGAACTAGGCAACCTGCGTGTCTTCTGTTATCATATGTAATATATGCATGCACTTGTAGAAATATTTATTTTTGTGACAAGGTCAAGGCATTTCATCAAAATCTTAAAAAGGGTCTATGACCCCCAAAGATTAAGCACCACCTGATCTGGAAGATCTTCAAGCCAACAAACTTGTAATGAAGAAAGGTGAAAAGAGTTAGGCAATTATTTACTCTTTTAATAGTTTCCTAGCCCTAGATTGAATAAGTAATTATATGCAGTACATGCTACTAATTCTCTTAATGTAATTCAATTACCTAAATGCTCCAGTCCATCAAGGAGAGGCATTCTCTTTGAAGTCTCTAGTGTTAAGTAGAAACAACAGAAAGAGTCAAATACACGTGCAGTGTATGAGGAGCTTTGTCAGGGGAAATGGATTCTGTCTAAGTTTATGTCTCTGTAAGAGCAGCTGGACATTTTATTGGAAAGGCAGGACATTTGATGCTCTGTGGCAGTGCCTGTTGTTGTGGCTTCTTGAAAAAACTTTTGGTAGCATCTTTGTGATTGGCACTGGAAACAATAGTGTGATGTTTTGTGACATTTTTGCTGGTAAGCACACATGATACCAGGGATAGACTACTGAAGAAGGAAGTTGTGCATTTGTCTCGAGCCTGTGGGGGCAAAACAAGTAAGCTGATGGCCCAGTGTCCTAACACCTTCAGAATTTGCCCAGGCTCTTCTGTGGCTGTTGCTAAGCCCACACAAGCCCAAGGCAAGATTGCTGTCTTTTCATGATGATCATGAGCAAATAGAACTTTTATTCAGTCATATATACCAAAAAAAAAAAAAAGTCTCTGAATGCCTTTATTTCTTCTTAGGCAAGTGAAAAGAAGGTGCTGGCTGGTAAGGATTAGGATACTTTAACTTGAGTTGTAGCCTTAGTGTATTACTAGACTAATTAATTACCGTAACACACAGTCCTCCTAAATGTCTGATGGCTCAAATATAAGTTTAGTCTTCTTGCAAACAGATTAGAGGAATGGCTCTTTTTCATACAGGGAGTATTAATGTGTAGCCTTTGAAGTCACCCGAAGGGGGCATCTCCAGTCTAGCCAGAAGGAAAAAAGAGCATGGAAGGAAAAGCATAGGAGAATTTTTATGTGTCAGCTTAGAAGTGGTATAATCACTTCTACTCACATACCTCTGACCAGGTCTCATCAGATGCCCCACATAGCTGCAAGGGAGGCTGGGAAATTACAGTAGCTGTGCCCGAAGAATGACAGAACATGGGCTTTGGTGAATAGTTATCAATCTTGGCTTTGCCAATTTTTTTTTTTTTTTGGTACAGAATTCTAGGGAATTCAAGAAAAATCACTTGTTTATGAAATCTTATTCATTCAGCAGTTATTCACTGAGGTCAGAACTTGTACTAGGTACTAGGGAGTCATCTCTTCCCTGCCTGGAGTTCACAGCATGGCAGAGAAGACAATGAATGAGAAATCACATGGCTATGCATTTTGAAAGGAAAAACCCAAGAAGCTATGTGCAGACCTATGTCAACCATGTAGGACCAATCGAGTGATACATAAACTGAGGTGTAATGGTCTATCATGGAATTCCTTTATATTTGCAAGCTGTTGGCTATATGGAGGCAGAGAAAGGTGGGGTGAAGGGAAAGAGAGAAATAAGTGAATGAATGAATGAATGAATAAATGAACAAAGACTGGGAAGGTCTGAGAACCTTCAGTTGATAGAGTGGCTCTTCAGGGTCCAGAGTCTCTTTGTTCCACTCACACCTATTTAGATTGTCTCATCACCTCACTGTTTGCTTCCTTCGGGAGTATATCATGAAGAGCACTTGACCCCCCTCTCTATGGTCAGGTATACCTGAACAATGAATTGTCCTCTTAATGTCATGCTTTTCTTTTGCCAACACTCTTTGGGGATCAGTCATATTGACTATTTTGCTGGGGTAGATTAGATAGTTTAGGGGAAGTGGTGGTTAACAAAGGACAGAGGGAAATGAAGATAAATTATTAGAAATCTAAGCCTGGAGATTCATTTCAGGAGGGAAGAGAGTCTCCAAAGCAATACATTTAAATGCCAAGGAAAGGAAATAAAACTTGCAGAGTAATCACCTCTCACTTGGAAGACAATATTTGACTTTTTTCCTTCTCATCCTTTGCTTTTCTCTTTTCACACCTCCATTTATTCATTTAAATTTCCCTTTTTGAGCTAAGTGCTGATTTCTTGGCCTTTTTCTTCCCACTTTTCTGTGTCTTTTGATGGATTACCTGTTCTTTGGTGAAAATTTGCTTTGATTAGCTGGTCCTGATGGAAGATGCAATCTCATACAGATTTGCCTTTCTTTGTTTTCTCAAACCTTATTTCCCACTATTATGAGCCCTATTCTTCAGCCAAACCAGGTTGCTCAACCCATTGGTATTTATTATTTCCTCACATCCCCACTGTTTCAATCCCACCTGTCCTTCCAGACTGACTTCTTCCTCCATTTAGTCGTTCTAATCTGTATTTCCCGTCTCCTGACCAGACCAAAGAAATATACTCCTTCTCTCAACTTTCCACAGTTCTTTCTACCTTACCAGGCATATTTCTTGACATAGAAATAACTATGTTCTACTTTTGAGAGACTATGTGCTTGGTGATGTGGTCACTATATCCTTCATTCTCATTCACACAATTGCCCAGACCAGTTCTTGCAACATATATTGTATGGATGATTAAACCCTATTTTATTATTTATGTTGAGCCAATTTGTAGTGGCCTATTTTTCATTTCTTTCTAGATGAGGACAAGTTGTCAAACAATGTCTGGCTGAATTAGTGTCCCCAGGTCTCAGTTGTAAGATTGAAAGTACTCATTGTAAGATTGAAAAGCTCTGGATGGATATGAGGAGGTACTGAAAGATCAGGAAAGATACTCTGAGTGTCTTTGTGGTTTCTCTGACTAGTGGCATACCAGAGCTGGAAATGTGAAAAGACAGTTGTATGATCTGAGAAATACATTTAAATTGATCCAGATGTGACTGATATCTAAAAAGATTTTAGAAGGCTTCATCAGACTATTGAAATTGAGCTGAAGTTTCATACAAAATGAGTTCAAAATGAATGCAGAGATTCTGAAAACCAAAACTTGAACTCTAGAAAGGCACTTTGGGTATTATACTATGACAACATGGTATGAACAGTTAGTTTTGCGATACTACACTGGAACAGGGTCAGAGACAAATTGGTGCCTGGTGACAGCAATAGTGAAAACAGAGAGGAGGAAGTCAGCATGGGAGAAGTGGTTGGAGAAATGGTGATGTGTAGACTTTGGAAAGACAGAAGTCTCCCAAGTAGCTTGAATACTATCAAATTAAAATGGAACTAGGATTAACTTGGTGTCATGTGGGTTGTAAGCTACATAAAATAAGATTTCAGCTTAAAATATAAGAAATAACAGAGCTGTCTAAAGAAGTTATGAATTAACTTGACAAGTAATAAGCTTCCTGGAAGACCACTAGCCAGAAGGTTCTAAAGGGTGGCCAATAATAGCACATGTGACCCTTCCCCCAAACCCCATCTTGTGCCCTTAGCTGATACTGCTTATTATACTTGACACTTTTTTCTTTCCGTCTTGGAGATCAAAACTTCTTCTCAGGACAGCTCAGAAATTCTCTTGGCTGGAGTAGGTGCTGTTTAGTCTCTTACAACTATGACAGAAAACAATTGTAAGATTTATAAACACACCATGATAGCAAGCCCATGTATTTTATTTTCTTATTTTTAAATAATACTAACAGATATGAACACACACACAATCATCATTACACCAAATAAAATTAACATTAATTCTTCAGGGTCATTAACTCTGCATTTTCAATTTCATTTTGTTCCAGTAGTCTCAAAAATATCTTATACAGTTGGGTTGTTCCCAAATTGATGGCTTTCATTCATCTATTTTATTTTATTTTATTTTTTAATTTAAATTTTATTTTTATATTCCCCATACAATTACAACCCCCCTATTTTGACCCCAAGCCCTCCTTTCCCCACCCCCCACCCCCCATAGAGTGTCTCTGGTTCATAGTTGTTTGTTGATTTTGATATTTTCTTTCTTATAGTTATTCTTTTTCCTGGTCCCTTATTTAAGTTTTCTAGATTCCTGCTATGAGTTGAGACCATCCG